TCCCTGCCCAGTTGCTTGGCGGGCGTGGCCATGGCGGGCATGGCCTACTTGGCTTCCTGCACGATGGCGGGGGGGTGCTTTTTTGCCCTCCCCAAGCTCTGGAGGCTTTCCTCGAGCCTCCGAGAGGGTGAAAACGGCCTCCCCCAGGCTCCAGAGGCCGGAAATGGGCTCACTTCCGGGAGGCCCGGTTTTTCCCTCCCCAGCCTCTGGAGGCTTTCCTCAAGACGAAAACGGCCTCCCCCAGGCTCCGGAGTGGGCCTCCCAGAAATTTCGGGGAGGGTAGGTGGGGCCACCAGTCCTTGCAACTACCGGTTTAGCATCCGGTTCGCCAGAATCCGTTCAAACCAGCTGAATCCCACCCTTGATTCAAAGGTTCCCAGGCTATCATTGTAAGAAATCTTGCTACTATCAGCCCAGATTTGTTGACCTTGATAGCAGCAACAAGTCTACGTCAACATGTCCAATATGTTGACCTAGACTTAATTTCATAATTGCTACCTTGGACCTGATTGAGGAAGTTAAAAAATAAAGTTTCATATATATTTTTTTTCTGAAAGATCCCATCCTTTCCACATCTCTTCCCTCAACCTAATCCCTATGGTTTCTTTTTTTAATCTTCTTAATTTTAATTGTTTTGTATTCTCATTTTTGTCATTTTTGTAAGCCACCCAAAGTCGCTGTAGTAGAGAGAGGGCAAAGAAGCAAACATAGAATTCTTCCTTTCCAGTTTCAATTTGGAAACGGGAGTTGCCTAAAAAATAGAAGATTTCTCTCTCCATCCTGCACCCTTGTTTATTTATTAAGTTGGGAAGATTGGGTCGGTTCACTGCTTTTCTTTTTTTATTCCAGCACTGCTGTTGTAAGTAATTTTGGAAGTACCTTTCATCCGGATTTCATTAGTTTTAAAATAGAAAACATGTCTTGTTTGCGTAGTGTGTAGTTTGGCTTGTCGGGGATGGCTTCCTATGAATAATGTTTGAATTATTCCCGGCAAATGGGTTGCACCTCTTTCCATACCACAATAAAACATTCAAACCAAATACTTATCGTGGAAGAAAACATTTAGGAAACTGAGGATTTAAAAACCAGGCTTGGCTAAATTTATAAATTCCTGAAGATTATTGACCTTATGCTTTGCAACGCTCGGCTAATTATCTGTGGGCTCTTTGGGAATTTTGGACAGCTATCTCAGTCAGAGGTGTCCCAGCTTGGTTACTTTAAGACTTGTGGACTTCAACTCCCAGAATTCCCCAGCCAGCCAAATGTCGGATTTGTGGACTTCAACTCCCAGAATTCCCCAGCCAGACAAATGTCGGATTTGTGGACTTCAACTCCCAGAATTCCCCAGCCAGACAAATGTCAGATTTGTGGACTTCAACTCCCAGAATTCCCCAGCCGGACAAATGTCGGATTTGTGGACTTCAACTCCCAGAATTCCCCAGCCGGACAAATGTCGGATTTGTGGACTTCAACTCCCAGAATTCCCCAGCGGACAAATGTCGGATTTATGGACTTCAACTCCCAGAATTCCCCAGCCAGACAAATGTCGGATTTGTGGACTTCAACTCCCAGAATTCCCCAGCCAGACAAATGTCGGATTTGTGGACTTCAACTCCCAGAATTCCCCAGCCAGACAAATGTCAGATTTGTGGACTTCAACTCCCAGAATTCCCCAGCCAGACAAATGTCAGATTTGTGGACTTCAACTCCCAGAATTCCCCAGCCGGACAAATGTCGGATTTGTGGACTTCAACTCCCAGAATTCCCCAGCCGGACACATGTCGGATTTGTGGACTTCAACTCCCAGAATTCCTTAGCCAGACAAATGTCGGATTTGTGGACTTCAACTCCCAGAATTCCCCAGCCAGACACATGTCGGATTTGTTGACTTCAACTCCCAGAATTCCTCAGCCAGACAAATGTCGGTTTGTGGACTTCAACTCCCAGAATTCCCCAGCCAGACAAATGTCGGATTTGTGGACTTCAACTCCCAGAATTCCCCAGCCAGACAAATGTCGGATTTGTGGACTTCAACTCCCAGAATTCCTTAGCCAGACAAATGTCGGATTTGTTGACTTCAACTCCCAGAATTCCTTAGCCAGACAAATGTCGGGTTTGTGGACTTCAACTCCCAGAATTCCCCAGCCAGACAAATGTCGGATTTGTGGACTTCAACTCCCAGAATTCCCCAGCCAGACAAATGTCGGATTTGTGGACTTCAACTCCCAGAATTCCTCAGCCAGACAAATGTCGGATTTGTGGACTTCAACTCCCAGAATTCCCCAGCCAGACAAATGTCGGATTTGTGGACTTCAACTCCCAGAATTCCTTAGCCAGACACATGTCGGATTTGTGGACTTCAACTCCCAGAATTCCCAGCCAGCCATGCTGGCTGGGGAATTCTGGGAGTTGAAATCCATAAGCCTTAAAGTCCCCAGGCTTGGATTCCCCTGACCTAAATAGTATCTCCAATTGCATATTTATATGTTTTATATGATATCTGCACAGCTATTGTTTTCCTGAATCTGTTCTACCTTCCTGCCATTTGGTCCTATGACCACTTCTTTATCGCACGTAACTTTTTGTTCCCCCGAAAAAAACAAACCAATTTTTATTTTAATTCAGCGAGCAACATTCCGCTTGTCCAAAACCGCAATCAATTTGAACATCGTTGCGGGCTTCAGTTGATTGTCTCTCCTTCAAGTATCATGTCAGTCTCGAGGAAGAAAGGATAACATATATGAAAACGAAATTACAATCCCATACAACCTGGCTGATTGAATCGCCCGTCCTTTCATGGCCCGGTTCTCATACATTCCTATTAAAATATTCAATCTTGTTCCTTCCTTGAAAAGCCTTGTTTGGAAAGGGCAAACTTAGAGGAGGAACAAAAAAACGCCATTCCCTGGAGAGATGGGATCTAAGGCTCGTGTCGTATTTACATATTGGGAGGCTGTGTGTGTGTGAGAGAGGAGTGGGGAGGGAAGGAGAGAGGGAGAGAGAGGAGACTGAAAGAGAGAGAGAGGAATGAGAGTGAGAGGGGAGAAGAGGGAAGAGGGAGAGAAAGAGTGTGAGGATAGAAAAAGAGATAGGATAGGGAGAGGAGAGAAGTGGAGAGAGAGAGAAGACAAAAAGAGAGGAGAGAGAGGAATGAGAGGGGAGAAAGAAAGGGGAGAGGGAGAGAAAGAGTGTGAGGATAGAAAAAGAGAGAAGAGAGAGAAAAGTGAGAGAAAAGTGAGGGGAAAGACAGGAATGAGTGAGGAGAAAGATGGGAGAGAGGAAGAGAGGAGGAGAAAAAAGAGTGTGTGAGGGGGAGAGAAAGTGAGGGGAGAGGAGAGAAAGGAGAAAGGAAAGTGAGAGTAGAGCATGAGAGCGAGAGGGGAGAGAAAGTGAGAAAGTGCGAGAAGAGAGAGAAAGAGTGAGAGGAGAGAAAGAAAGAGTGAGGAGAGTGAGAGGAGAGGGGAGTGAGAAAGGGAGAGGCAAGAGAAAAGATAGAGAGGAGAAAGGAAAGAGTGAGAGGAGAGAGAGAAAGTGAAAGAGAGAGAGAGAGATGCCTTGCGCAAGGTCTCTGCGGTCCTGGTGTTTATTAATAAAGATGCCTTTTTAATTATCGGGTGGCCTTTTTGCTCGAAGAATCAGATGACGTAGGTGGCAGGTCCTGCCTTGTATAAAATTGTCCTTGAGAAGTTACTTTTCCTGTCGTTCCCCCTCCAATCCCTTCAGAAGGTGCCTACAGCAACATCATTTTCACGGGGGCTGTGGAGATGCTGTTTGCTTGTTTATTCGTGTCGGAAGCATCCCAATTAAAATAAGGGCATACCATACGACATAAAAATTTAAAATACAAGATTAAAATAGGTACAAATTGAACAGCTCTTGCCCAGAAACTTGCAACATTTAATTGCGTTCCATCGCAACTGCCATGAATTCCTCAAGTGTACACCGATCAGGGCGCTAAGAGCAGGTATACGTAAGTGTCATCGTCTGCATGTCACCACAATCACAAAGGGCAGAAGCCACCCGATAGCCCGTTCGTTCAGGGAGTCTCTGGATCTTGTCCTTCCCGGCAGGTGGGAAACGATGGCCCTTAATATGACCTGTGGACTTCAACTCCCAGAATTCCCCAATCGGCCATGTTCTAGAGCACGGGCGGGGAAAGATGGCTCCTTTATGACCTGCGGACTTCCGACTCCCAGAATTTTTCAAGAGGCAACTGGACTTTTTTGTTTTTTTCTTTTGAAGACATTTTGCTTCTCATTCGAAGAAGCTTCTTCGGCTCCGACTGGATGGTGGAGGAAGGATTTATACTCCTTGCAGACAGCTGGTCATTTGCATCCTTTTAGAGGAAGAAGCACTTGGGGGTTTATCTGTGTCCTCAGGGTCATCGGAGTGGTGCTCCCAGTTCCTGTAGTCTGCAATTTTTTATTTTTATTTTTTCCCTGTGGAAATCCATTCCTACTCCCGCACTATTCAAAGGGCCTTCATCCCAAATTGTATAGCTAAAAGTCTGTAGAGCAGGGGTCTCCAATCTTGGCAACTTTAAGACTTGTGGACTTCAACTCCCAGAATTCCTCAGCCAGCTTTGCTGGCTGAGGAATTCTGGGAGTTGAAGTCCACAAGTCTTAAAGTTGCCAAGGTTGGAGACCCCTGCTGTAGAGATTCTCAGTCATCCAAGTCCAGAGACAATCATGACCCGAATGCCCAAGAATCTCTACAGACTGTCAGTGCATTTATATCTGGAAGATATTTTGATTTCTCAATCTTGCCTCTGCAACTCTGGAAATGCTGTCAAGAATTTTTAGCAACAAGAATTAACCGGGTCCAATCCTGCTTATCCCAAATACATAGTGGACCAGGTGCCGAAACCTGTGGAAACCGGTCTCTCTTTCTCCTCCTTATTTTATTGACTTTATTTTGTTGCTTTTCTTGCTTTCTCCTGGTTCTGGAATGAGCTAAGGCTTACAAATGTGAATAACTTTCTAATAACTTCGAATTGTTTCCTTTTCTCTGCCTCTTGTCTCTCCCTCCCCTCCCCCCAGGACAGAATTATATCGGTCACTGTTTGGCAAGCAGGCCCGCCTGGAAGAAGGACACCAAGCGTAGTGATCCATAGGAAACCTTTGGAGGTTCTGGAATGTGGGAGAAGTTCTCGGTTTGGATCGTCCCACCACCCTACAGGCCTCGCTCAGGAGAGCCAAGGTAGAGTCTGTCCATTTGATGGAGAAGAACCTTAAGGAAGCTGCCATCCATGATCACCTTGGGAAGCGGGACAATGTTTTTGTCCTACTCTCCTCCCCCCCCCCATCTCTCTTTCTGAACTCCCCTCAAGATGAGCCATTTCAATTCAGTCAGGCTGTTTCCTGTGGGATCTTCAAGGACACAGCGAGCACGAAGCCAGCTTGGATTTTCCTCATCGTTCTGGCAGGGCAAGACTGTTGCCAAAGATCACCACTGTCACTGCATCCTGATGGGTGGATGGATGGATGGATGGATGGATGGATGGATTGGATGGAGGATGGATGGAGGGATTGGATGGGGGAGGATGGATTGGATGGATGGATGGATGGATGGATGAAGGATAGATGGATGGATGGATGGATTGGATGGATGGATGGTTTGGATGGAGGGAGGATGGATTGGATGGATGGATGGATGGATCGAGGATGGATGGATGGATGGAGAATGGATGAGGGATAGATGGATTGGATGGATGGAGAATGGATGGATGGATGAGGGATAGATGGATTGGATGGATGGATGGATTGGATGGATGGACGGTTTGGATGGAGGAGGATGGTTTGGATGGATGGATGGATTGGATGGATGGAGGATGAATGGATGGATGGAGAATGGATGAGGGATAGATGGATTGGATGGATGGAGAATGGATGGATGGATTGGATGGATGGATGGATGGATTGGATGGATGGATGGTTTGGATGGATGGATGGATTGGATGGATGGATGGATGGATGGTTTGGATGGTGGGAGGTTGGATTGGATGGATGGATGGATGGATGGAGAATGGATGAGGGATAGATGGATTGGATGGATGGATGGATGGATGGTTGGATGGTGGGAGGTTGGATTGGATGGATGGATGGATGGATGGATGGAGAATGGATGAGGGATAGATGGATTGGATGGATGGAGAATGGATGGATGGATGAGGGATAGATGGATTGGATGGATGGATGGAGGATGGATGGATGCCAAAGCAATTTGCTTGATGAAAAAAGGCCTTCACGTTTCCTGAAAAACTTGGTGACATGTTGCATAAGTGGATGTTATGACATTGGCCCCAAAAGTCGTCGAATAAAATTGGGTTTTGTTTTTTTTTTTAGAAAAATAATGACTCTTTCTCTCTATGTGTGTGTGTGTGTATGCGCATGTGTTTCTTATAGAGAAAGAGCTGCCAATCTTAGCGAGTGCTACAGGACAAACAGTTAAGCCCTTTTTATTTTGTTCTTAATCATCCCACCTCCATTGTTTAGCTGTGCCTTTCCTGCAGTTTGAAAGTAAAAACCTAAACCTTTGAACGTCTCTTTGGACAGCACTGTAACCTCCATCCCACCTTCCAAAAACGTTGGATGAAACATTTGGAAGCTAAATCGGCGTGTTTCTAAAATCAAAATTTCCCCTAATTTGAGACCTCACCAGTACACTGTTTTTTGAACTGAAACCCACTACTTAAAAAATCTGAAACGCTTTTCGCATCCATCTTTGGAACCGAGGCCATTGAAGGGCTCAGGGAAGTAGCTCTGTCTACTTATCTGTCATTCTCTGATAAATACTTGTGAATTTTTGTATGAGTCCAGAGCTATTAATATATTTAATTATTTTTGCTGGTAGGGATTTGAAGAGGCCAGACCGCTTCTCCTCCTTGTAGAAGTTAGGTACAGAATGAATCTAACAAAGGGAAGTACAATTCACTTGCTTTTATTCAGAAGATCATTGGAAATTAAAATCCCATAAAGTGGATTTATTAGCATGCTGTGATCAGTCTTCCAGTGAAGGTTATTTTGTATAAGTAACATGTGTCCATGTATGTAATAATACAACTTACTATATTGATTGTCTTTGAACCATCACTCACAAATGCGTGCAAACACACACTCACACAAATGTAGTCAATAAAATATAGTCTTACACTTTTGTATTTGTGCGTGATGCCATACGTGTATGTGCCTTGAATGATAAACACTTTTCTATAGATTTATTGAGCTTAAAAATTAAAGTATTGTTTCAGTTAATAAATAAGAGAGCCTTCCATATTAGCTATTTAAATTAATAATTAAGAATGAGAACGGAGCACATATGTCATAAGGATTACAGGGTTGATGAAATAGATTGTCAAGGAATATTTTTTTAATTATTTATTTATTTATCAAATTTAGATACTGCCCATCTCACTGTCAAAGCAACTCTGGGCAGTTTACAAATGAAAGTACATTCAGAGGTGAAAGAATGTGGAATTAGTAAATTCAACAACAAAATATTTAAACTAAAATTACAAATGAATTAAGAGAAATCTTTTATATTTCAAATTGACTTAAATTTAAAATTCCCATTCTAAAACCCTTATAAAACATATTCAAACCCATATTTAAAACCCAATTAAAATTATTGTCCCATCAGACTGGCTTGTTGGAATAACAGGGTCTTCAGCGCACGACGGAAGGCACGGAGGTCGGGGATCCTTCGTATATCTGGGGGCAATTCGTTCCATAGGTCAGGAGCCCCCACAGAGAAAGCTCTCCCCCTGGGAGTCGCCAGTCGACATTGTTTGGCCGACGGCACGCTGAGGCGGCCCTCTCTGTGGGAGCGTATCAGTCGGTGGGAGGCAGTCAGTGGCAGCAGGCGCTCCTGTAAATATCTAGGCCCTAAGCCATGGAGCGCTTTAAAGGTGGTAACCAACACCTTGAAACGCACCCAGAAGACCACCGGGAGCCAGTGCAGCTCGCGCAAGAGAGGTGTTACATGGGAGTGACGAGTCGCCCCCATTATCACTCGCGCGGCCGCATTCTGGACCAGTTGGAGCCTCCGGGTGCTTCTCAAGGGGAGCCCCATGTAGAGAGCATTACAATAGTCCAGACGGGAAGTGACGAGGGCGTGGGTGACTGTGCGCAAGGCGTCCCCATCCAGAAAGGGATGCAACTGAGAGATCAGGCAAACCTGATAAAAGGCCCCCCTGGCTACGGCCGTCATATGATCATCCAACAACAGCCGTGAGTCCAGGAGGACGTCCAAGTTGCGAGCCCTCTCTGAGGGGGGTAAGATCTCATCCCCAATAGCCAGTGATGGTTCTAGCTGGCTATATCGGGACATCGAAAACCACAGCCACTCAGTCTTGGAAGGGTTGAGGTTAAGCCTGTTCCTCCCCATCCAGATCCGCACGGCCTCCAGGCAACGGGACATCACGTCAAGGGCATCATTGGGGTGGCCTGGGGTTGAAATGTACAACTGCGTGTCGTCGGCATACAGTTGACACTTCACCCCAAAGCCACAGATGCTCTCACCCAGCGGCTTCACATAAATGTTGAACAGGAGGGGTGAGAGGACTGACCCTTGCGGCACCCCACAAGTGAGGAGCCTCGAGGTCGACCTCTGTCCCCCCGTCAACACAGATTGTGTACGGTCAGAGAGGAAGGAGGAGAACCACCGTAACACGGTGCCCCCCACTCCCATCCCCCACAAAAAAGGCCAACATTTTCTAATTTTTGCCTCCTGCTGGGGTGCAGAAAGTATCTGTGTCAAAGTTGCTATTGAATTTTGTCTTGGAAAACGTAGGTAGCACGGATGAATAAATCTTTAGGCGCGTTTGCAGCCAAGTCTTGGCTGTAGATCTTGAGGAAGTGCATTGATTTTTCATCTTCTTATTTTCCTTTTCATCCATCTTCAATTCCTTTCTTTCCTCAGCTTGGATGTGTGTGTGAGTGTGTGAAAATAGTCCCAAGAGAAGCTGCTTTCAAATGTTGCCCTTTGCGGTGTGTCCCATCCTGGGGTCTGACAAGAAGCAATGGATGGAAACTAATCAAGGAGACACTCAACTTAGAACTAAGGAGAAAAGTTCTGACAGTGAGAACGATTAACCAGTGGAACAACTCGCCTCCAGAAGTTGTGAGTGCTCCAACATTGGAGGTTTTGAAGAAGAGACTGGACAGCCACTTCTCTAAAAATGAGGACCCAGATTATGGGGGCAATAAACTGACTTTGTATAAATATACAAAAGTATGAAGGCTATTGCTTAACGCATTGTAAGCCGCCCTGAGTCTCCGGAGAAGGGCGGCATATAAATCAATTTTTTTTAAAAAATGGGATAGAGTCTTCTGCTTTAGTAGGGGGTTGGACTAGAAGATTTCCAAGGTTCCTTCCAACACTATTCTGTTCAGGAAATTATTTTCGGTGATGAAAGTTTCACGAATGAAGGCAAATATATTTATCCCAGGATAATGATGGGAAATCGAATTTGGGTTGGTCCCTGGTCTTCTGAGTTTTCGGACGCGTGATGGAGCCCATCTTCAGGGAATTTCTCTAATGGAATACATGCTTTGGGCTGTTCTGTGAATCGTGTTTATGTGGTGCCTTCCTATTGGCTGATTGGTGTGGATGGCTAGAGATCGGCTGCTGTTGTGCTGCCAAGCCCTTGGCTCCTAAGTATCTGAAAAGCTGCAGATAAATCCTTCAATCACTTCTTTGGCTATTTTTGTCCCTGCTCGGCCAACAATCTTAGTAGCTGCGAAATTGAATGTTTGTCCTTGTTCATTGCAATGTGAGGCTACCAATGAGCTTGGGTCTCCTCATCTGACCGCTCACTTGCGTTCTTGCAATCTGATGGCTTAGCTTCCTCCCTGCTTGTCCTGCAGAATCACAGGGACAATCCACACAGGAGATCCAATAGATTACGTTGGAAGTATCTCCCACCTCCAAGCGACCCAAATTCGATTTTGCATGAAAGTTTCAGCTGTTCAGCTGTTTTGTGTCTTCTGCCAGATTTCATCAGTCTAAGAATCCTCTCCTTCCCTCCTTCTCTTTGTACAGGTACAACCAATTTTGACCATTCAAAATTAAAACAGCACTAAAAAAAGTGACTCGTTTCACACTTAACAACCGTTGTGGCATTTTCCACAGTCACATGATAAAAATTTGGACCCTTGGCAACTGGCATGTATTCTGGGAGTTAAAGTCTACAGATGTGATGACCCGGGGCAAGACATCACACGAAGGCAACACAGTCAGCTGATAGTTCAAAACTCCCCTTTATTACTCCCAACTTTCCCCCAAACACTCCCACGTTTATGGCAAGTCCCAAAGCAAAGCACTCACACACACACTTCCAGCAGCCTCTGGCTGTGAGTAGTCCAGCAAAACGCTGTTAGCACAATGGCTTCAAGGCAAGAAGTCCAGTGGGTCAAGAGAATCAGTCAAGGAGTCCAACGAAGCAAAGGAACAAGGCAAGATGTCCACTGAACTCCAGATGTCGGCAAAGGCACACCAAACTCCATGAATTCAGCTTTTGTTTCTGACAAATGCCCCTCCCCACAGTGTCTCCTTAAGTCTCAGTCCCCAGGTGTGTCTTGTGAAGAGGAGCGGGGCATTCTCCTCCCAAGTTGTCCGGTCAGCCTGCGCTGTTGCTGCCTCCTCTCCTCTCTCCATGCTCGAGGATCAGGAGGAGGCGGTCCTTGCTCGTCACCTGAGCTCTGTCGCTCCTCGTCTCTACTGCCTGCCCTCTCTTTCCCCCCATCTCAGTCATCTTGCCCCTGTTCTTCCCTGCTGGCAAGCCATCCCAAACCTGAGGGACTCGGGGCTGCCTCATCCTGCTCCCCGCGTTCCTCCGAAGCCAGCGAGGCCACCCCTTTGACCTTCTTCAGCCCCAGCTCCAGCTTGTCGTCCTCTGCAGCAAAGCTTCGACGGGGCCATGACACTAGGTTTTAAAGTTGCCAAGATTGGGCATCCCTGCTCTTTAAGGGTTTCAAGAAGGACTGAAAACTTTCTAGTTAGGGTAGCGGGTATTTTGAAACGGGAGGATTTCAAACTTTGAAAGATTTGAAACTTGAATCCTTGTGCAAACGCCTGCAAAGAATATTCCTCCGCTGAAAAACGGGCCTTTTATTTGCACATGGAGGATTTGTTTGCTTATTAAATTGTGGGTTACTTCAGACCTCCCTTAATACTTCAAAAAGATGCTTGAACTAAGATTTCGGTAATATGCAAGTACTCTACAAATGTAATGATTCATTAACTCGGTTCACCGAAAGGGGCCTAATTAACTAATTGGTTTGACAGTCTTGTTTTATTATCTACTGTGTACTTTGGTGTTTTTTTTTTTTTTTTAATAAATACAGTTTATTATTCTGAGCACCGTAAATTAGATTTGCAAGTTTAACCTTTCCGTGTATAAACTCAGTTATATTCCTCTGGGCTGGGGTTTTATGACATGGTCACTCATGGCTAAGTAAACTGTGGTTTATTAATCGGTTTATTTATGGCTTACTATCTTCTGTAAACACACTTTGATTATTGAAAGAAAGGAGAAGATGAATGTATAGGAAGGTGGAATTTAAAAACATTTCTTTGGGGTTTAGTGGAAGAAGACCCGGAGAAAAAAAAATTCGGAACTTTGATGTTACGTATGTTGACGTCAGCAAGATTAATTTACGGGAAAAAAAATGGAAGCTCATAGCGATCCCCACAATGGAGGAATGGCTGCAAAAATTGATGGAGTTAGCAGAGATGCCTAAATTGACTGTTTTGATAAAAGAATATATATAAAACCCAAAATCAAAGTTACATTTTTTTCCCACCTCGAGGACAAAGTCCAAAAGCAGTTTCCAAATAGAAATAAAAGTATTTATATTTAGATATAAAAATATATATAATACTTTTATTTCTATTTGGAAACCACTTCTGGACTTTCCCTCTCCTCTCTCCCCCTCCCCTCCCTTCCCTTTTCATCTCAAGGCCAGACAGTGTAAAGTGGTGAGGAAGTTTGCTTCTACTGGTTTCATCCTGGAGGGACAGGATCTCTGCAGGCTTCTTCTTGTCCACTCCTGCCGTCCCCCTCAACCTTATTCTCCATCTCCAACCTGCTTCTCCATCAGAGCTGCCTTAATGCTCGGCAGTTACTGACTCTCTACACCCTTGTATTCTCTGTTGTAGTTTCCTGATAAGGAGGCCGGTGTTTTCACCAAATAAGGGCCAGTGATGTTGAATGAGATAGACCACTTAAGATCTCCTTATGAGGAAGACTTCTACACAAAATCCTCTTTAATGAGATTTTAATGAGGACCCAGATTATGGGGGCAATAAGATGACTTTGTATAAATATACAAAAGTATGAAGTCTTAACGCATTGTAAGCCGCCCTGAGTCTCCGGAGAAGGGCAGCATATAAATCAAATTAAAAAAAAAAAAGGGGGGGTAGAATTCCTGAAGAGAGCCAGGTCCCAAGTCATGGAAGTGACCAGTGATGGGATTCAGCCAGTTCAGGCAAACCGGTAGTTAAATTCCTGGCTGGCCCACCCCTTCCAGGAGTCCCCACATGCCCCATTTTGGCTCCCAGGTAAGTGTAGGGAGGCCCATTAGGACCAAAACGGGGTGTGGTGTGTGTCCGTCCCCCCTCCACCCCACAGCCCATTTTTACTCCCAGGAGGCTGCAGGGAGGCCTCTTGGGCCCCAAACAGGGCACCGGGGGTGCGACCTAGCCCCCCTGCAGCCCGTATTTGCTCCCAGGAGGCTGCAGGGAGGCCTACTAGGCCCAAAACAGGGCACAGGGGGTAAGGTGGCCCATTTTTGCTCCCAGGGGGGGTGCAGGGAGGCCTACTAGGCCCAAAATGGGGTGTGGGGGGGTGCATCCCCCCCTTGGCCGATTTTTGCTCCCAGAGGGGTGCAGGAGACTGAGTGCTGCATGTCACACACACCCTGGCCACGCCCACGCCCACCATGGCCACGCCCACGCCCACCATGGCCACGCCCACCCAGCCGGTCATTAGGGCAGAGAACCGGTTGTTAAATTATTTGAATCCCACCACTGGAAGTGACCCATTGAGTGGGAACCAGAAAGTCACTATAAATAAAGTTTCCCATCTCAGATAAATGAGGTGAGTATATTTTTTTTGTGTCTTTTCATTTTTGTCTTGTGTGATCTTTGTAAATTTCCCTTTGGCGCTGACTGGAGTTTGCCAGCTGCATAGACATTAAATCTCTCTCAAAACACCGATTGCTGGCATTCACCTTGTTTGAAATGTCAGAGAGAGAGAGAGAGAGAGAGAAGCTGAATCAAGGAGACTCCAAAACGTCGAATTTAGCACCTAAGCAAACTTTTGACATACCTCCTTACGTAAATGATGCAACGCCATAAAAATGCAGACCTTAAAAAACAAAATCTTCAGCGAAAGGGAAACCCAACCTCGCACCCGTTAACCTTCCACGGAAGATCCGTTTTCTTTTCCCAAAAGGAAAATGGTAAATTTCCAGAAGAAACATTTCTTTGCTTCGGTAATTTTGGAGCTCGGTCTAATCTTCACAATGTCACTGAACTGTCTAGAGAGGTTTGCTATTGCTCGAAATAACAGCTAAGTTTCTGATAGCAAGTTATAGTATCATAGCCAAGCTGAGTTATTTTAGCGCCTTCCTGAGCTAGCATCAATCGGAATAGAGCTGGGAGGGACCTTGGAGGTCTTCTAGTCCAGCCCCCTGCTCAAGCAGGAGACCCTCTACCATTTCAGACAAGTGGCTGTCCAGCCTCTTCTTAAAAACCTCCAGTGATGAAGCTGGTGGCAAGCTGTTCCACTGGTTAATTGTCTTCACTGTTAGGAAGTTTCTCCTTAATTCCAGGTTGCTTCTCTCCTTGATTAGTTCCCATCCATTGTTTTTTGTCTTGCCTTCAGGTGCTTTGGACCCTCTCTTCTTTGTGGCAGCCCCTCAAATACTGTCATACTGCTATCATGTCCCCCCCCCCAAGTCCTTCTTTTCTTTAGACTAGCCAAACGCAAACCCTGCAACCGTTCTTCATATATTTTTAGTCTCCAGGCATTTAATTGTTTTAGTTCCTCTTCTTTGCACTTTCTCCAACATCTCAACATCTTTTTTGTAATGTGGCGACCAAAATTGAATGCAGTATCCCAAGGCTTTATAAAGCGGTACTAATACTTCATGAAATTTTTATTCTATGCCTCCGTTTATACAACCAAGGACTGTATTATCTTTTTTGGCTGCTGCTGCACACTGCTGGCTCATCCTTAGAAAATCCCCCATTTCTTTCTTTCTCTTTCTCTCCCTCCTCTCTTTCTCTTATGTGTGTGTGAGAGAGAGAAAGAGAGAGAGAGAGAAATTACAGTAAGAGTAAGAGTTGGAAGGGATCTTGGAGATCATCTAGTCCAACCCCCTGCTCACACAGGAGACCTGTACTAGGGATTAGAACCGCAAAACTGCCGACCTTTCTGATCAACAAGCTCAGTGTCTTAGCCACTGAGCCACCTAGTCAGGCTAGATAACTAGGCACACAACATACACAAGGTTGTATGTGTACATACAACATTGACTAGGCATGCAACTAATGACTATTAATTTATTAATAACTTATTAAATTTTATTATTATTATTATTATTATTATTATTATTATTATTATTATTATTATTATTATTATTATTATTATTATTATTATTATATACACAAAAATGACAGTATACACAGCAAATGAGATAACCATGCTGGATTTCGTATCACAAATCACTAGTCGAACACTTCCCAAGCATTGGTTTTTATTATTATTATTATTATTATTATTATTATTATTATTATTATTATTATTATTATTATTATTATTATTATTTAATCTTTAGTGAGATTCACAGCCTTTGAGGCTGGTTAATAGCTCAGCAGCTCGAGTCCTAACCAAGGACCTAGGAACTGTTAAGGTATCGTCGGAGGATGTAAGCTGTTCTGAGTAAGGTGGTTTTTTGTAGAGTCAAAATGTTCAAGTCCGGCAAATTTAGAATTTCTAAATAGCGGGGTAGCCCTTTGGGTATTGCTCTAAGGGCTCCAATTACAATTGGGACAACACACGATTTCTTTTTCCACAGTTGCTCAACTTCAATTTGCAAGTCCCGGTACTTTGTGACATTATTATTATTATTATTATTATTATTATTATTATTATTATTATTATTATTATTATTATCATCATCATCATCATCATCATCATCATCTAATGACTAAATACAGTGACTAGGCATGCAACACACACAAGGTCGGGAAATTCTTCCAAGTCTTAGAAGTAACTTTTTCTATAAAATCACACAGCAAGAAAAGGGCTTGGAGCCTTCCTGCTTATTTTAATGAGAATCTTGTCCCTCCTTTCCACCTAGGTAGCTCTTATAGGCAGCTGGTCATTAGTTTAAGCAGTGCAGAAGCACGCAGGTTTAAAACAGCACAAGTGAAGCCTCAAGTAGAAACGGGTTCTTAAAATAGGGGGAGTAGGAAGGACTTCCTTTACCAGCCATTAAGGCTAGGAACAGTGATGGCGCAGGTCTTTTTTTTTCTCCTCGCGTCCTCTTACAGATCGTTCTCGATTTATGAACGGTCGCTTAGCAACTGGTTGAAATTATGACAAATCCCCAAAAGGTACTTACGGCCAGGTTCTGAACTTCCAACAGTTCCCTCCCATGGTCATGTGACTGCATTTTGGGCACTGGGCAACTGGCCCGCATTTATGGCCATTTGGAGTGTCTCGAAGTAAAGTGGTTACGATTTACACATTTTATTTTATTTTTTACAAAATTGTTATTGTGAGCCTCTGCCTGGTTGCTCTATGGTGTCGAAAATTGATGAGTGTCCATTGATGTCTTTCGTTGTGTTTATCCAAAACTTTGTTCTGGATTTTCCCAAGACCTTGAGCCATGCGTTAAACCTCATAATCTTGGGTCACTCGTAACAAGCCAGTATTGACTAGTTTTGATTCAGGGAAGAGTGACACTCCGACTCTGGTGTGTCTTTTCTAAAGCACTCAAGATCTTCGGATTTATTAATTTATTTAATTTGTATCCTGCCTTTATTATCATTACAAATAACTCAAGGTGGCAATCATATCCAACACATCCTCCTCCTCCTTATTTTCCCCACAACAACCCTGTGAGGTGGGTTGGCCTGAGAGAGAAGGACTGGTCCAAAGTCACCTAGCCGGCTTTCATGCATAAAGTGGGACTAGAACTCACAGTCTCCTGGTGATTGGCCCAAAGTCACCCAGTTGGCTTTTGTGCCTAAGGCAGGACTTGAACTCACAGTCTCTTGCTTTCTAGTCTTGTGCCTTAACCACTACACCAGTCTTATGAGTCTATATGGAATAAGGGAACTATCCATTTCTCCCTGGAAGATAAAGTAAAGGTTCCCTCGCATATATATGCTAGTCGTTCCCGACTCTAGGGGGCGGTGCTCATCTCCGTTTCAAAGCCGAAGAGCCAGCGCTGTCCGAAGACGTCTCCGTGGTCATGTGGCCAGCATCACTCAATGCCAAAGGTGCACGGAACGCTGTTCCCTTCCCACCAAAGGTGGTCCCTATTTTTCTACTTGGATTTTTTACCTGCTTTCGAACTGCTAGGTTGGCAGAAGCTGGGACAAGTCACGGG